CTCTCTCTCTCTCTCTCTCTCTCTCTCTCTCTCTCTCTCTCTCTGTCTGTCTCGCCGGCGAGATGTTCAACGTTAGCCGGATTATCTCTGTTCGATCGTGCTTCTTCAATTATTCATACGATAAATTATTTTTGAAAATTAAATACGATGGACATTTGGATCTCATCGTTCGGGGAAAGTATGTATTACATAAGGCTCGTGCTGCTGATTTATTTGGGCGTTTGATTTTTCGTGGTTTCGTTTTTTGATAACTTCTGCTGTTTGTTTTTCCAGGTGTTTCGTGCTTCTAACGACACTGTCGAATTCCATTGCAACTAGTTTACTACTTCTTCTCTTTAATCGTGTTTGTAGAAATATAAAAATTACGTAATTTCACGCCGTCTAATTGTAATGCACGGTGAAACCTGAGGATTTAAGGATTAATTAAAATATTAATTTTCTCTCACTATATTACTGGTTAATTTCTTTACGATTTTTTATGAAGAATATATCACACATGGACGAAATAATTCATTTTCCAGTCAATGAAATATCACGTCACGTAAGTTTATATCTAATGCCTTCACACATATTATTGCTTCTAAATTAAAAAATTCTGCAAGCAAATGAAACTTGGTTCAGGCTAGGTTGGATTTAGTTTAGTGATCAAAATGTAACAAGTATTAGTGTTCTCAGAATTCCCTCGTAGACAGGTGCATTCGAGTTGAATTCTTGCACGATAATGCCAACTTACGTGGAATTCGTGCACGACAACGAATCGATAAATATTCTATGTCACTATGACTATCCGAGTTGGCTGGTTGATTAATTCAATCAGTAGGATAGATGATTATATAGAAAAAAGGAAATTTCTTGACAGTCTAATAATTTCATAAATCGAAGCGCATCTATTATAAAATGCTGTATAACATTGTAGGAAATACATTGGGACTCGGCTCGTTAAATCATAAAATGATATTTCGAAATGAAAGTAAAGTTGTGCAGCCTCTTTGTCTCTTTGTCCGTCGAGTTTGTTCGTTAAAAATAAATGAAATGGACATCGCACGCACAAAAATATATATGAAATACTTTCAAAATAGAATATTCGTTCTAACTCTTAACAGATAAAATGAATGCAATTTCATTACTTACCGTGTCCACATGGAAATTAATTTGCGTGAAAATTCGTCGTTTAATCACTGTAGAATGCATCCACGCCTTGTGAAAATGAATATGAGAGCAGAATGTCTGTGAAGATAAACGTGATATATCACTCTGATGCCTTAACATCGAAATGACCGGTTTAAAATTAACGAAGATTCACCCTTCTCCTCGTCGAGTTTCACCGATAACAATTTGCCGTTTCATCATGAATAATGTAAACCATCGACATCTCGCATTCGTCAATAGTGTGAGTCGAGAGGCGTGATCGTCGCGGAACACCGAGCAAAAAGAGCCGGAGATCATGGGGCAAGAAACATCGTGATCAATCCAAGCAGTGATTGATAGAGAAAACTGGAAATCTGGAGATAGAGGCGATCAATGATCCGCAGCTATGAAGCTGTATAGGAACGTGTAAGATCGATCGTGACGGATCGTGCCGCGAAAAAGTTGTTGCGAAACTGTTCACGCCAACAGGAAGTTGTGTACGATAAAAATTCGAACTTGATTTTACATAATATCCTGTCTTTCATCGAGCATCTTTTCAAAGCGACGATATTTTCTTTCATTTCTTTAATTGAACGTTTATTGCAAATTGACGTTTACTGCAAATTATATCAATTATAATGTCAAGTAATATCGAGATTTTATAATAGCAATTAATTCCTGTTAATTTTTCTTGTTTATTTATTATTTATTTTTCGATTAATTTTATTAGAATCAAATTATTCTTTAATTTCGTTTTTTCATTATTTTTATAACATAATTACACGAGTACAACTACATAAGGCGAGAATTTAACTTTGTAATTGAAGATCTGAAAGTAGCTTATCACTAATCCAAAGATTTTTATGCATATAATAAATCTTACCAATCTTAAGTACGTGTATCCCCAACGTCCTAATTTTTATAGCAATTGATCGTAAACCTGAAGACGTGTCGCAGTTTAATTAAGGGATTGCCGACTTGTGTAAATATCTTGAATCTTCGCGAGTCGTGCCACAGCTGATGTCTCTGTCTGATTAGCTGAATTCTTGAATTAGTTGCCTATGTATGTGTGAACATTCATCACGCGAACGAAAACTGAACCACTGGACTTTTGTTGTATAAACTTTTTCATTTCTTTCCCTTTAATTTTAGACTTTTTAATGGAGTTTTATATTTAATTTTAGACTTTTTAATGGAGTTTTATATTTAAGTACCTTAAATGGAGTATTAAACTTAATTAATGTTAATTCAATTAGTCTTAAAAATACAAATCTTTTTAAATTTCTTAGCTTGGTTCTCAGGAATCAAGATTGTTGATATTTATAATACAGAGTGCACGTTGAAGTCGAAGAAAAGGAAAGTAAACTTGCATGTACACCGCGATAGATATGGTGAGCATTAGCTTATCACGGTGTGGCAATACCTTGGGTTTATCACGAATCGTGCGTACATTGTGGATATAAATTTGTACAGTTGTTGCAGTTATCGTACTTGAGCATGTATATTATTATCGTATTATTATACTACCCGTTGATACTAATCGTGATTTCTATTTGATAACTGTCCCAAACATGCCAACTGCCTTTGATACAATAACGATTGCCAATAACGAAGAATGAAAGTCAATATATTTTTCGTTTTATTTTTAAACAGTGTCTCTAAATGTTATGTTATATTTAAAAAAAAAATTAGAAATAAACTTTTTAGAATACAGTTAGAATTTAAAAGCGAATGCTTTCCTACTTATACGCTCGCCAGCGTAGAATATGTCTGACATAACACGTTTTATTCTTCTTACTCTACTTAAAGTTTCTTAAGTAAATTCAACCTGCTTCTTTATTTCGTTATTCGTGTTTTCGTGCTCTATTATATAGTTAATACATATTCCACATATTGTACTCGTTAATTTATATATCCTACATTTTACAAAATGAAAACTATCAGTAAAATTTATCATTGACGAATTAAATAATCCAGAATGAGATAACCTATCTCTAAATCTTACTGAAATTAAAAAATTAACCGAAACTGAATAGCGATTAAAATATTATTTTCCATATTTATAAAAAGATATCTAATTCACCAAACATATCTAAGTTTAGTTCGAAATATCCTAAAATGAAGTAACTTTACATCTAATTGAAACTATTGTGGTGTGATTTATCAAATTTGTGTCTAAATTGAAGACTATATTTTAGAAGCGTTCAGTTAAAATTTAACACTACTTGTTATCCATGCGCGAGGTAACAGGCGGCAAAGAAATTACGGTAGCCGTCGGCATCGTCGTTTGTTTCTTCTGTTTTCCGAAAAGGGCGACGCAGGGATGCAATATCTTGCAAAAGAGTATTTCCAACCAGTTGTCAGTGTCAAAGACATGCACGAACTCGAGACGCCGCGTAACATACATAAGTAGCTGTCGCGAAGGCACTTTGGCAAAACACCTTGTTCGCGTTAAGAGATCGTTTAGTATGCGAGGAGAGCTTCGAACAGATTAACTTAGCTCTGAGGACCGGCGCGACGACGTGGCGGGTGTTGATTTGATGTTGACGCAGCTCGCGTGACACGTGACTGTTTCAAAGTGATTTCGATATCGTCGAATTTGTTGAGACACATCGACTGAACAGTCTTGAACAATCTTGGACGAACAATTTCATACTGAAGTTTAAAATGTATCGAATTAATATTATAAATTCACGCGTAGAATTTCGTTTTGTTTCATTTATTTCCCACTCTTAATTTTATTCATTATTTATGATATCAAAATTTAGGCTTCATAAACTTCAGGGCTTTCAGATCAAACAGAAATCAAAAATGAAACATACGTTTTTCGTATGAAACGCGATTCACTCTGTATAAAGCAAATAAATCGCAATACACGTGAAGAAGTGATTTCAAGTGGAAGATAAACAGTGGAAATATAGCAAATACGGCAAAAGAAAAGGCGAAATAAGGTGATAAGAACGTGAGGATATTTAACTTCCTTACTCTGAGCCGCTATTTTCTCAGTTTCTCCTTCAGCCACCGATCTTCATATACGTGGTATAGATCGTCGGTTGTAACATCGATCGCCTCTACTTTTTAGACACGAGTCAACTGGATAACCTTATTGACAAGTCCACTAGCAAGTCCCTGGACGAAATCCACTTCTCTTTACCTTTCCTCTACCTCTTTCTCCGATCGTCTTTTCCTCGGATAGACTTTTTCCCGCCATAAAGTTGGGTAAACCGAATGTGCAGGTAGTCGTAACAAACACTAAAGAGGCAGTAAATTGAAGCTTGGCTGTAATTAGTTAATAATTGTGAATTCCTGAATGGATTTTTGAAACGTAAAGATACCTTTCGTAATTTGCTCAATTTGAAATTGTAAATTTAACTCCTTCGTTTATTTCATTCCGGAAAAACACGAAGATTTCCTGGAGAAATTAAGATTAAGTTTCTCATTTACTTCGTATAAAGAAACTTAAACTGTGGAACTATAACGTTATAAAAAAAAAGGCCACAGTACTCCTTCATGGAAGAAAAATTTGAGAACAATTGGCCAGAGGCAAGGAAATTAGAAATTTCATTATTCCCTAGCAATTGATCTTGCGTCGCCTGGATTTTTCGTATTTCGACGAAATGAACTAACTTCGCCGGCTCGAGACGAAGGGGGCAACTTGCTCAAACATTGTAATCGCGTGTCGTATCGGAAAGTTGTATCGGACACGGTGGATGGGTAGCGTGGGTGTGGGTTGCGCCGAACTACTTCCGCAAGTGGAATTGTTCTAAGATTCGTGTTTATACGTAAGCGCATATTCCCCTGATGAACCTTGCCTCCGGCAACATTTACCGAGCGGATCGTAAATCCTGCGGAACATGGCGGCAGTTATCAAGGAACGTGTCTATATGCAAACGGAATTGCACAAAATGGAAGCGCAGCTTGTAACTTGATTCCTCGATACGAAGCACGCGAGCAGTTCGTACAGGCAGGCGCAATAATTCAACCGAATAATTCAGTACATATAATATACATATATACTACGAGAGTAATACCTTCGTAGGACCGAGTGCTCTCTTTTTTTGAAAATATAAAAGTTGTTTATTGATAGAAATTGTTGCAATTAAATGGAGAGAGAGAGAGAGATTCACTAAAAAATTGGAACCAGTTTTACCATTTCCCGTTTCAGCATTTTTTTTTAAATTACAACGTTGTGCGTACAGTTTGGTACAGTACAAAAATTTGTTTCATATAAATTAGTTTAATATTTATTTTTTATTTTTTTTTGATTAAATAATACAATGACAGACATGTTCACTTTCTGTGTACAATATACTAAATTACTCCAGTCAAGGAAATTAATATCTACGTGTTTTGCTCGGAGAACGTGTGCCGAAACTTTTGTTTCCTAATGTATGTATAGACACGAGGTGAACAAGAGGGAAAAGTGCTTATATTTCCGCTACCCTTCACCCAGCCATTCCATCAACCCTCCTCTTTTCGATTCCACGGAACGATAGACCGCTCAATCGTTCATTTTAATGATACCTGGAAAGGGAGTTTGACCTTTCCAGTCACGAGCCCTCCAATTTACAATTGTTACCTCTAATGGAAATATTTATTGCCGCAGAGACTCGACCAGAGACGTCGCGTGCTATTTTCTAGCATCCTGATTGCATTAGCCAGTAAATCGAGGGAAGAAAATAAACGGGCAACAATTGAATTGTCTAGCTGTTAAGGAAGATTTAATAGCGTTGGTTTTATTAATTCGATCTGAATTATATTTACTTGATAAACGGTCAATAACAACAACAAAAAAAAAGAGATCGTTTAAGCAAAAATTTATATACTGGATCTATCGACGACTGAAGTATAAAATTTCCATCAGAAACAGTTGAAGCGAAAGGAACAGAAAAAAATTGCAATTTGTTTACGAAAATCATTTAAATCTCTAAAAATACATTCTCTTTTTTACATCTTATAAATCGATTATTTTAACCAATTTGGTAGTTCCTTAGTGTTAAAAATTTCCCAGAACTATACAATCTATAGTGACTCATGACTGATTAAGGAGAATTGGAAATCAAAGTTTCTCAGTGAATTTATCCAAGCTAATGAAAATCAATTAAAGTTACAATTTCGTAAAGTTCAGCCAGGAAAATCAGTGAGATACGCGCAAACTGACTGTGACATTCAAGCGACGACTCGATTTACCCTGGCCGATTAATAAATTAATCTCGCCAAGTTTCCCTAGGTTTTGCTAATCGATCGATTACATTAGCGATTCGACGTAGCCTCCTTCGTCAAGAGCCAGCCAGACATTCTGCAATTGGCTCAAGAGACAGACAGAGAGCAGCGCGCTCCCGTTCGGTCGTATTTTTAAAACGGCGACGACGATTCGTGCCGAAAATACTTCAGCCCGAGAATTACAGGGAAAGCCATAGAGCAACGCTCGGTAGCAACGGAGGTAAATAGTCGGTAGTTCGTGTCGCGGCAAGAAACTCGCTGGATCAGACGGCGAGGAAGCGTGGAAGGGGGAGAGGGTGGCACGGCTACGTTTAGCGTATATTTGAATTCCCTCGAGGTGAATTCTTCTCCCTACCCTCCCCACGGCAACGTGGAAGCAAATTTCGCCACCCCTACTCGCGGCTGCGGCAGCCTTCGCTCCCGCCATGTTATATCCTTTTTCTCGAAAACGAGAAATTCGACGACGTTGCTCTCGTCGTCGTCGTCGCAGGCGTCGTTACTTCCGACGAAGGGATGCGCAACGCGTCGCGTTAGAAGTAATTGAGATTACGTCTGCCGAACGACACTTTGGCCTTATCGGTCTTCTTGGCGGGATTTCGAATGTTTTATGTAAATTTGAAAGTTAAAAGAAACACAGATTTCGTTCCGAGATCGATGTTAAATTTTCATTTCATGGATAAATATATTGATGATTGTGCGGGATTGTATGTTTATTAAAACTCTCGAATTCCGTCTCTCTGGCGGGACTCTTATACTTTTACACAAAGTTGATTTTAATTTGACGTTAATTTTTACCCGGATAGATACTTTTGAAATTTTTTTCTTTCACGAATGAAAATGTTTTATTTGTAACAGTTTCTCATCGAACTATTAGAACTATTGGAAAGAGTATTGTATGCTGTATAATAAATTTTGCACAACATCATTTATTTTTCTCACATTTTTATTATTTATCCGTTTCAGCGTGTATTTTATTTCAGCCGTGTACAATGAAAGTCAGCAACCTGTGATTTACGATCGGTCAACAGAAAGTGCAGCGTCTGGCGAACGAATACACTTTTACTTCCGGTCGTGTGCGCTTTTAAACGCGAGAACCGCGACATTCTAGGAAGCCATGGTGGGTTACGGGGCGTACGGTGAGCGTGGCATTTAAACTTTCACGTCTAAAATAAAAGCCGAAACCATGGCCAAATGGCTGCTTGCCAAACTCTCATTGTTGGTCCAAAGGATTTTATTTACTTCGAAGCCACTTCCGATCTTGTGTCATAAGGTTGCACTCTTTAAGATATTTGCGCAACAGAATCACAATACGGCTGCTCGAATGAAATGTGTGAATAGTCATACTGACTCTGTTTTAGAAAATAAGTTGTGATTGTAAATATTTAAATATCGTTCGATACATTCATTACTTTGAGGATTTAATTCTTATAAATATTGCCTATATTAATATTTTATAAAAACATTATGTTGTTTCATTTTAACAAATACTATATTAATACCATATTATAAATATTTAACCAAATTTTAGTTAGTGCCTAATGAAACTATTGTTGGTTCATTTATGTGAACGTAATTTTTTAGTAGAAAGGATTAGAAACTCCAGTTTGAAAACAGGTTCAGATAAACAAAAAGAAAGAGAGAGAAAATATTTTAGTGTATGTCACAAAAAAATCTTAACTTTCCATCGAAGGTTTCGAAACTATTTTCCTTGGCTTGCCATAATGCATTGAGTTGGTGTTGACTTTCCTTACACCATGCACAGCTTACTCTCGAAAACTTTCCAACGCACTTGGGCAAATCCTCTTCGATCTACGCGAGAATTCCGCAAACAACTA